AACAGTATAAGGTTATTTGTTTTATGATTGGCATTGTGTTCAAAGTTCTAGTATCCATTTCACTCATTAATTTTTAAATATCTCTACTAAATAACAAATAAACTTAGTATTTACAAAATCGTATATTTTTCTTCGATTGGTAGCACGGTAATAAACAGCAAGTTGTCTTGCCATTGCTGACTGTAAAACAACATGCAATACGGCCTTGAAAACTTGAAGGCAAGAAAAATTGCTGCAAGAAGAATTGCCGGCTGTAATACGGCCTTAAGGCCGTATTACAGCCGGCAATTCTTTCGGCAATTGCAATGAAAATTGCCGTAGGCATGCGCGGTAGATACATTTCGACGAATCTCTTGCAATTGCCTAAAATCGGTTCGGATGGATTTTTCTTCTTCTCTTCTTCTTCTTTGTTTGGTTTGGCCTTTCCCATCCAGGTTTTAGCCAGCTTAAATTTGTATACTGGTATAACTGGGGAGGGCGAGTCTAGGAGTTCCTATAGCCGCTCCCTTTCTTTTCAATATTAATTATTTTTTCTTCTCGTTTTCATCTGGATTATTTATTTTATTCTTCAAACTTATATATCCATCAATATCACTTCAGTCTTTATAGTTCATAAAACAATCTTTTATTTTAGCATTTCGGTTCGAGCTTAACAAAACTTCGGTACACTTATAATTTAAAGTCATTCTTATTTCACTAATACACTAATGTCTCAAACATAAACGAAATCACGATACACGCAGCGGAAGTCATACAAAAAAATAGAGGGCAAAAAAAAATAGCAAAAAAAACCCACGATGCACTACATGGCGGTTTGCACATGACTATTCAATCTTTCAATATTTCGACCATCCTTTGTGGGAACTTATTGCATCTTCACAAATCTAATGTAGATTTTGGAGTTTTGGCACTGATCAGCTTAATTTTGTGCTGTGAGCCCCATATTGTCCTCCCAAGGACTCTTGTCACTTCAGCGGACAACACAGAACTGGGATGGATTTTTATTGCCGTTTTACGGCAATTCTGGGGTGAAATCTGGTAACTTTTATGTTACCAACCCTACTACAAATTCCCTAGAGAGACACTGTTTGACCTAAACAGTTTTAGGTTATTTGTTTTATGATTGGCATTGTGTTCAAAGTTCTAGTATCCATTTCACTCATTAATTTTTAAATATCTCTACTAAATAACAAATAAACTTAGTGTTTACAAAATCGTATATTTTTCTTCGGTTGGTAGCACGGTAATAAATAGCAAGTTGTCTTGCCATTGCTGACTGTAAAACAACATGCAATACGGCCTTGAAAACTTGATGGCAAGAATAATTGCTGCAAGAAGAATTGCCGGCTGTAATACGGCCATCCACACTTTATATTCCCTAAAGACGCTGGTTTGTTTTTTGAAGAAATTTGTGTATTGTTTCTTTGTATTCTAAATTCTATTACATAGGAAATATAAATTATAATGTCGTGTGGCAGGAGCTATGTTTAATTTTAATTCTACTTATAATTTTTTATATTTTCCTTCGGTTAGTATCAATCAAGTTGGAATTTGAATTGGAAAGTGTATTACAGCTGTCCAGTCAGCAATATAACTTTCTTGCATGAGTATTTTCTCATCTAACAAAAATGACAACTTCTAACTTTTGTGGCAAGCTCTGAATCAAAGAAGCAACCTTATCCTAAGATATTTTTTCCAATGCATTTAATATAACTTGTTCCAGCTAAACCTCTGTATAAAACTTGTCGTATAGTTACGCCTAATCCTTCTGCCTAAGTTGTCCCAGATATAGGGTTTAGGACTATTGGGATACTACGAACATCGAGTAGGTTGTGGGCGGTCGAGCGTTATCCTGCATTAGGAGAAAATTACCTCCAAGAAATGATGCAAAAGGTATTTCATGCTATTTGAGACACTCCCTTATGTACCTGTTATCATTAAGGTTACCTGCCCGAAATGTGACAAGAGCCTTACAAGCTTTCAAAGAAATGCATTCACATATCATTACACCACCACCGCTACCACCAAACTGTACTTTGGGAAAAAAGCAGCACTGCATACAGCATTCTCCATGTCTTATAAACAATATAAGCGAAGATAAGATAAATATCTGATGACCGGAGACATCTCAATTCATCCTTACCCCAATCGACATAATTTCGCGCAAATTCCAGGCGCTACCAATAAGCTGCGTCCAAAAGAGGTCCAGTGGCAGGTGGATGAGATGTTAAATTTAAGTACAGTATCGGAAACTCTTAGTTAAATCTGTAGCAGGACTTGAACTTGAAGAAAGCCGTCTTGAAGGGCATTCGTTGCTAGTGGTATTTCTTGCCCAGGTTATCTTGAGTGAGAATCAGTTTCTTTGAACCTTTGTAATATATGAGACACTGTACTTCGAGGTATATCTAGCAAGTATATCGGATGTTGCGTCCATAATTGAACATAGCTTTTTAAATAATTATTATTTTGCAGAATCCTTAAATACCCAAAGCAAACAGAAATAAAAATAAATTAAGGAGGTCTAAAACGTTAACGATTGGAAAAAATATCCTCGTAATATTTGAAAGCCCAAAAAACTTGAGCATATTTTACATACGTATGTAGTTGTTAAATCAATGTACAGGGCGTTTTCCAAATTTTGTAAAGAAAAAAAGTGTCCCATTAATTTTGCGGTCGAGTGTAGTGTGTAGAACTATTTCAAATGTCAATTAAAGTTGTGTTTTAAATAACTAAAATACATATCACTGCTTTATATTAAAAAAGTAAAATTTATTTTGAAACAAATCTGTTTTAATGCTTCAAACACCAATTAATTTGTGGCAAAATAACGTCTCGGTCTTGGGGAATAATAAAATAATGAATCCATTATCATAAATCATTTTAATATGTCACTTTTAAAAATGTTAGCAGTAACTTAAAAAAAATCTTACAGATGATTAATGGTCAGCAGGGAGAAACTGTATTATAAATTCTATTTTTTTTATAAGTAAAACTTGCCCCAGATTGAGAGGCTCAAAGTAAATGGACGCTTGAAAATAGATCTCTTTAACCTGATTTATTAAAAATCTTATGAACGTTTTAGGGGCAACAAACAGATATGCAGAAAAAATTTCATCTCAGAGCTTTTATTTTATAAAAAAAAATTAAAACGATCATAATTATATATATTTTAAATAATTACAGTAAAATAATTATAATACAAATATATAAAGTGCAGTAAGAAATAATAGCAATGCACTTTTTTATTTTATAAATACAAATCGGGTTTTTGATAGTTTTAAAAGTTTTAGTTAAGTTCAAAGTTAAGTAAAGCACAAAAAACACTTCTCAGCCGAATGGCAAACAATGTTTTTATCTTCAAGGCACAATTTTATTTTCTAAACGATACATAAAACATACAATTATAATAACAATTATTAAAAATAGAAACTGAGGTAAGGTGGATCTGATAAAAGTCGAATTTTTGTATTGGTCTTAATGGGGTTTTTACATCCCACAAAAGAGTGTGTGCTCTTTGTCGTCCTCTTGGCCGCAGTACATACATAGCCGTGTATCTCATCTTCTTCGCCGGTAAAGTAATTTGCAAAAACATCTGTGACCCAAAAGCGCCTGTGTTAGAAAGTAATCGGTTTTTCCATATGTTCTGTTAACCCAAAGATGAAGTTCTGGCATTAAATGGAAGGTCCAGCGGCCGTATGCCCCATCTTCCCATTTTTTATAAGGTTTTTCCTGGCAATACTTCTCTTTCCTATCTTTAATTTGTCTCTATGGGTGGAAGTCCAGCAACCCCTTCAGCAGATATTTTATTAATTTATCTTTTATAAACAGAGAGTTCAGTGGCGTTGCATACAGAATCTGACTATGGATCACACTCGACACCATTTTGGGCTTGGAAGCTCTGGGTTCCCAATGTTTGGCATAATACGCGCCAGGGACGATATGGTTTTCCAATATTTCTTAACAAGTTTGATCAACATGTACAGAAAAACTTAAGTTTGTGTCCATCCACATCCCCAGGTATTTTAAGGAATTGGCGGGCCTTATTGTCGTGCCACCAACACTAAAGGATACTTGACCTATTTTTCTTTTGCTTTTTAGGAGAACAGCCTCGGTCTTTTCTGGTGCCAACTGTAGCTGTTTTTCCTCCTGCCAGTTTTCTACCAGTTGTAATCCTGATTCTACAACATCATTAAAGCCTCTTACGTTTTGGCAGTGACCACTATTGCCACGTCGCGACGCGTCGCCTGCAAAACCCACTAGCATAGCTCCTTCAGGAATTTCTGTTTCAAGAAGACCATTACATAAAATGTTCCATAGGGTTGGTCCCAGTACAGATCCTTGTGTCCTTTCTGTTTAAAAGGTATGAAGCAATAATACTTATCAAACTCTCGTTGATTCCTTTAAACCTTAGTTCCTTTAATATTTGCCTCCAGGATGCACTGGTAAGTGTATTTTTAATATCTAAAGTTATGCATATGCATAGTCTCCGATGATAATAAGAGTATGCCGCTGCCTCGTTAGCTATCACAAGTACCTCACCTTTTTAAAGGGCAAACAGACCATAGCGTCTATGGTCTGTTTGCCCTTTAAAAATCCACATTGCCTACTAATATTCCTCCAGTGCGCTATATCTCTTTATTCAGTCTTCCCAGGATAAGCTGTTCAAAAAGTTTTCTTTCTAAGTCAAGAAGGCAGATTTGTCGAAACGACGATAGTTTTCCTGGGGTTTATTTCCTTTTCATAGAAGTACGAGTCTTGCTTGTTTCCAATTTTAAGGGAAAAATTGCAGATGTTGCTAGCTCATTGACTACTTCTAGAAGATAGCCTGGCTTTTTTCAGCTAAAGCTTTTATGTATCTTAGTGCTTGCTGCCTTAAGCTCTTCTACACTAAAGTTTGAAAACCTACTAGGGACGTAGTTAAATGTTACGTTTCTATAAGTAGGATTTAATCGGGGTTGGAAACCAGACATACCTTTCATGGCGATTTTATAGCCATCGCCTCATATATCACTGTTAACTTTGTCGCAGAGCGTTTTCCAGCAGTTTCTCTTGGCCTTCTTGATCATGTCCCGTAGTCTTGTTTTGGATTCTTTATAAGTTTCCCATAGCATTTGGTTTTCTAGAAGAGGGTTTCTTCTGTGGCTTTTGGTGTATATTCTTCTTTTTCTGATGCTGTCTTTTCTTGTTTCTAAAATTTCTTCATTCCACCAGTATACAGGTTTGCTAGCTTTTTTCTTGGCATTGCTTTGTCACATATTTTTTCGAAGTGTCTTGAAAGGCTCGTTGGGCTTTCTAATTCTGTAACTTCTTCTATGGCACTATTAAGTTTATTTATATCAATTTTTTTAGTATTTCAACCTTTACGTTTGCTTTTTGGGTGCTTAGGTGCTTGTTGTATTTTTTCATTAACTGTAAACCTAGTATGTAGTTGTGATCACTCAATGTTTCTTTATCGCATACTTCCCATTCTTTAATTTAATCATTAGCCGTTGCCAGTGTTAGGTCGATTATGGAGGTGAATTCACGCCTTTGAAATGTTGGTTTATTGCCTAAATTTAAAATATTTAGGTCAAATATCCACTCTATTACTACTTTGCCTCTGTTGTCAGTGTTTGCCATACCCCATTGTGGAGATTTCGCATTAAAGTAACCCACAATTATTGATTTGTTCCTGTCAGACCTGATAAGGTTTCCAATTTCTAAGAGAGTTTTTTCAAGATCTTCTATGTCTTTGTTTGGTAATGCATATCAGCTGAAAAGTGAAAAACTATCTGTAGCAATAAAGGAAATACCATGTCCATGTCCTTGTTTACTAACGATAAGTTCCCTATTAAGTATTTATATGGCAGTGTCCAGTGCATTACCATATACCCAGTCTATTATATCCTTAATTGCGTTTTATTAGAGCTAGGTCTTGCCCTGTTTTGGACCTGTGTATATTAATTTATAGTAATGATGTCATTTTGGGTTTATTAGGCATTTTGCGATTTTAGACACATTTGCTCTCTATCGGGCCTTACACTGTGATTTGACATGCCCATTTTCCCAGCATCTAAAGCATCGCAACTCTTTCTCTTTTTCGAAAATTTTGCAATTGGTCCAGCCTCTCCGTATCTTTCCTTGCTGAATAGGTTTGTCAACTCCTCCCTCCTTCAGTATTATTTATGCATTTAGTACATTACCATGTGCTGGTCGGATACCTCTAACGTCCAATTCATTTGTTATTCCGATGCTATTTTCTATAGCTTTCTTGACCAGTTCCTTCATATTTTTAATGTGAAGCACTTTCTTTCTCATAAGATATGTTGTTTTGATTTACCCTTTCTTTAGAGCTTCAGCCTTCTCCATTTCATCTTTAAATGTTATCAGAACTACATCTTTTTTGTTCGTCTTATGCATCACATCTACTACTAGGGTCGACTAATGCCTTTATGGTCTTTAACAAGTCGGCATAGATGGTGCCTTCCCTTTGTACTAATTTGACATTCTAATTTTGTTTCTTGACCGTTGCCTTGTCTTTGTTCCTTGTGTCCCTGTTGTTTCGGGTAAGGTCTTTTTTATTCTCCTGCTTTTCGGAATCCTGGTGTGGTTTATAAATCGCCAGTTTAAAAGATGTGACCTTAAGTAAGTATCTTAGCATTCGCTTAACTGTTATGCCTAAGATATCCTCATCCATTGCAGATATGGCAACTTTGTCCGTGTTGTGAGCAGTTAAAAAAAAGGATTTTCAGCAACTAAAGAGCATCGTATCTCCAGAATCGTCCTTTAACAAGTTCATATTTAGAATCGGGCAGTATAATCAGCGGTTCGTTTCGACGAAATCTCCCTCTTGTTAGGGAAAACCTAAGGAGTGCTAGTTGTCTTTCTTGCTTTCTTTAAGGGCTGTACTTACATCTTTGTAGTTCGACTTAATATCTTGGTCACATGGAAGGATAATGACCCAATTCTCTGCTGGTTCGCTTATGGATCCTAGAACCACTTGCGGTTTCTTAAAGACTTCGGTTTTCCAGTCTTTTTCGGTAGCCATTTGAAAGTTTTCAAATGGCGCGTTTTCTTCCTTCAAGAACCTTCATTTATTTACTACATTCTTTACGTGTGCTTTGTTGTTTTCATTACATTTTTTCTCTAAGGTTTGGATGTAACCTTTTGTCAAGTCTCACGAGTTCTTGTATCCTTCCAGTGTGTGCTTTTGTTGCCATAACCAACAACTCTTTTATCTCTTTAGTTTTTACACCCTGAAGGCAAAAAACTTTACGTCATTGGTCTAAATTATTTTTAAAGCCTAGGCTATAAGCAATCAGTTTAGAAGTAAGTGTTGACAAAAATAAAGTTTAAATTATAGATACATTTTATTATTACCTACCTTTACAAAATATAAAGCAGTAGGAAAATTGTTTTTTTAAATTAAAAAAAATATATATTTTTTAAAGAAGTTGACAGTTCTTTTGCTTATTTGAGGAGCATCCGTACAAAACCGGCTAAATCCATTTTATTCAGTTTTTGTTTTTTTTTTTGATTTCGCATCTTTGGGTTCATTTCTATCGACAACCAAGATAATTCTGTTTAAATCCGACTAAATCCATGTTAAAATAAACTTTAAAAGGTAGCTTTAGGAGCAAAACCGGCCAAATCCACGTTTTTATAGCAAACCCGGAAATATCCCATAAATAATGATGATGATGAGCATGTGGCTTGGATATGTCGATACTACTACTAAAATTTGTGCTGTTTTTTCATGTTTGCACTAAATTTATTTTGTTAATATTTTTGAATAATAAAGGTTTTTTTTTTACATTTTATTTGGTTTTTGAGCAAAACCTGCTATGTACAAAACATTTTTTGAAATTTTGGCCTTAATATAAAGTTTTTGAAAACGAAAGTATGTCTTATAAATCAAGTACCACAAAGCCCACAAAACTCACGTTTGCTTTTTCTTTTATCTGCAAAGGCCAGGAAACCGAGAGTTTTTGCCATTTTCCCAACATTTTATTAAAGTGGATATAGCCGGTTTCGCACGGATGCTTTTCATTTATTTTATAAACATAATTTTAGGTCATTTTAAATAGTTAACAGTGATCAAATGTCATACAATGCTTAAAAGTGCCGTTCTTGTGAAATAATAATGTGGAAATATTTTTTTTTATCTTAATATAAAAATAAAAAGTATTAAATTGTTTATCAACGCCAATGCATATTTAAAAAGTTTATATGCAAGTTTGTACTGACCTTTTGATTTCGCCGGCAGTAAACTAGATTTAACTGAAAGCTTTTAAAATTTCGGGTAAAGATTCCACCGTGAAGGACATTATCTTCTATATCAGATTTAAACGGTTGTTAGTCCATTTTCAAGAGATAAGTTTCGATTTACACATACAAATTTGACATTTTGACTGGCCTTGCAAGTTAGAAATTCTTAAGCGAATAAGTCTATTTTGTAGATAGATGTCGCTCTATACAAATATTTAATTTAAATCATTTTTAGATAATAATAGGTATTTGTCGTTCATTTAATTGAACATTCGCTCGCAAGCTCGCTCGTGCCTAATTAAAATTCGTGACTTAAATGGAGTTTATTAAGCTTGATACATAATATACTATTATAAAAAACCGTTCTTAAAAATGAATTCTAAACTAAAAGCTATTATAACGGAAAAGAATCGATAAGGAATATTCTCCCTAAATTTATTGAATCATATTAATATGATTCAATGGGTTTTCGCGTCAGAATAAACACATTTTTGATATATCGATAAAATATTTTAATAAAAACACTATAGTATTTGTAGTTAAAAATGCATCGATCAAAATGTCAAAATTTTAAAACTTATTTTTACGGGAAAGCTGAATAGGATGAATATCATTCTAAAAGGGATAAGCCCATTTAAATCCCATGATATTCTTGTATGCCTAAAGAGATTTTAAAAGTAAAATAAATAATTTGTTTTCTCATCCGACATTACCTACCTATTTTTATAACTTAATTTCATTATAAAAGCACTGTCGTTTATTAACAAAAAAAAACTTTTAAAGTAACAAACTTTTATTAGTTTTTTGTCAATAGATACTAAACTTAAACATGTGGAATTAATTTAACAAGACTGTAGTCTTATAAGTTTATAAATAAAAAATTACATCATGCAAAAAACCTATTTATAATAAATGCAAATTATATGGCTTCTAAAAGCACAAACTCTCACCAATTTTGGTCAAATTAATTAAAAAAATCATTCCTTAAATTTGCTGTATTTGTTTATAAGTTTAGTTTTCGGAAACTGAATAATTTCTTGGTGCGTTTTATTAAAAAAGGAATTTTATTATTGTTTCAGTGTAAAATAAAACAACGAGTAGTCATGTAGTCATTTACCATTAAAATTAAAAAACCTCGGCATATCTATGATACATCTAAAAACGGTTATAATGGAAACAAAATTAACAAGGCATATATAGCAAACTAAAGTTAATATGGTTAAAGGGTTTGTCGTTTTTACGAGGTGGCGAACATACTTGTTCGCCCGATTTTCTATACAAAAAAATTTGTAAATGAAAACAATCAGTTTTATTTTTGAAAAATGTTTATTTTGACCTTTTAATTTTATCCTTTTAAATATTTTTTAATATCATTGATGCAAATCAATATGCAATTTAATATCATTGATGCAATTCAAAACAAATATTATTATTATTAAAAACTATTTTGAGTATACTCACTTTAAAATATTACTTACTTATTTACTTTAAAATATTAAATCATCAAATTTATAAAATAGTTACTATTTTATATGTAAACTATAAAACTTTAGTTAGGAGTTTTATTAGGCACGAGCGTCTAGAAAAGTTTATAAAACGAGTTGCATACTATACTTTATATACGTCAAACACAAAAAAGAATTTAAAGCCAATTTTATTTGTTAAAAAATTTACATCTAAAAACTGTCACCCGGATTTAACCTGAAGTTTATGACTAGAATGCCCAAAAGCCACTGTTTCCAAATTCAGCCCGAGACATAAAGTCACAGCTTTTTAATGTGAGAGTACCACTGCCTACGGTGGACTAGTGATTAGTGCTGCTGACTACAAGCCGAGAGGTCCTGAGTTCGAATCCATCCAGGAGTATGGCTATTTATTTGTGTTTGTCCTATTGTATATTAGTCCTTCCTAGGGGACTTTAAGCCTGCGGCCCGTTCCTACCCCTAACCCGCTCAAGCCATTCAGTTGGCTTTTGGGACTTCTTAGGAAGTAAGGATGGAACTAACAGAGCACTTTTGTATAATAGTATATTATGTATCAAGTTTTATAAACGCCATGGCGCCATTTAAAGTACGAACTTTAATAGGCACGAGTGAAGCTGGCGAGCGAGACAATTTTATTTGTTGAATATTTGACGGCTGTCAACTGTCACCAATTAATAATAAATTTAACTTCGCCCCTACTCAAATTTATAAATCAGCTTTACCTGTTAATATTGATGAAGTTATTGCGGAAATTAATGAAGATCTAGTGAGTGTTTCTAAGTGGTCCAAATATAATGGTCTGATATTAAATTAAAAAAAAAAACTGTTGCTATATGTGTTGGTACAAGTTCTACGTGTCTAAAAGCATTAAGACCTGTGATATAAAAGTAAACGAATTTGTGATAAAACTAGGAAACTGTGTAAAAAAATTGGGAATACATTTTGATGCTAAGCTAAATTTTGAAAAACATGTATCTACGCTTTTAAAAAATGCTTATTTTAAGTTTAAATCTATTTATTGCTATAAATACTTCCTAAGTAGCTCTGTTAAATGGAAACTTACTAATACCATGATTTTAAGCCCTTTTAATTATTGTAGTAATGTATATTTTAGTTTTTTAAATTTAAATAGTAAGTCTTTGATACAAAAACTTCAAAATTGCTGTCTTAGATACTCCTATAATATTCAGTACAGCGATCACATAACACAGTATTATGTTATACATGGAATACTTAAAATGGAGGATGTGTTTTACTGCCAATATGCAACCTTAATCTTTAATATTATTAAATCTTCAAAACCAGACTACCTTTGGTCCCTCTTAGAAAAAAGAAATTATTGCCATAATGTAAATTTAAGAAACGCCAATCTTTATTCTATTCCATACCACAAAACCTCTAAATTTGAAAAATGCTTTGAGTACTTAGCTGCTTGTATTGCTAATAAACATATGCATTTATTTAAACCTGACCTTACTGTTAACACATTTAAAAGTAAAGAGTTATATATTAAATCTCAGATGTACCTGAATTCAGAATTTTTAAACTGTTTGTATTATAATATAAGAATCTTATTCTTTGTATGTATTTATGTTATTATTTGGTTTAAGCGGTAGACCAGCTATGCTGAGCTTACACCCTTTGTGTTTGTACTATTTTTGTATATTT